TTAGATCGTCCCAAGGCATTGGCAGGTGAGCCAACAGTTCATGATCGTCTGGTGGTTGAGCCTCACCACGTCTTCTGAGGATGTTGTGAAGCACTGCTGTAGCCACGATTATTGGTAATGTGTTGTCGAGATTCACAGAAATGCCTAGAGCTAAAACTGGGAACCTCCGCTTCCAAATCCCAAACAGTCTCTCAACAGGATTCCTTGTTCTAATTTGAGACTCGTTATAAAGGTTCTCTGCAGGTGTTGTAACTTCCGAGAGGGGAGTCATCATATATTTCCTACAACTATACCCACCATCACCAACAAGGTACACATCACCATAGTGATTTTCCTCAAGCAGGGCCTTCTGCCTGCATGCATCAAAAATTGTTTGATCGTGGACACTGCCTGGCCAGCGCGCTACCAAATCCAAGAACTCCATATTGGCATTACAGATGGCTTGACAGTTCAGGGAAAGGTATCCCTTTCGACACCTGTAGTATTCTGCACCCTCACCTCCTGGGGATCGAATTTTGATGTGGGTACAGTCCACGGCTCCCAGCACTCTGGGGAATTTGGCTATTTGGTAGAAATCAAGTTGAGTCTTTGCTATTTCTGCATCATCGTAGGGGACGTAGATGTGGTCTTTGTAGAGTAAAGCTATTGCACGGGTCACTCTGTGCACTATTCTGTGTGCCGTTGGTTCACTGACTCCACTGAAATCACCAGCACTAAGTTGGCTGCATCCAGTAGCATAATATCGAAGACACAGCAGCAGTTGGTTGACTGGAGATACTGATTGGTTCCTACAAGCAGGTGCAACAAAACACAGAGTGTTACAGACGCTATCGCAGAGGGATGGGTCAAAGCCATTGTTATTAGCAAAAAATGGACATTAAAAGAAGAGACTTGTTAAGTACTTACTTCTCAAAATTTGGGTATTCCAGACTGTTTTCTATTTGATCTAAAACGTGAAGGACACTTTGTTTGGAGAGGCGAAACCTCCTCACGAAATCGACATCATCCAGATCATCAAAGTGAGGGATTCTTTCCTTGATCAGGCGTGGTCTTCTAGCGGGCATGTCATCGTCACTATCACTTTCACATAAGAAATCAAGTGCGCGTTTCTTCAATCGTTTACTGAACATGATTTGACACACGGAATAAAGAGAGGCAGAGAACTTCTCTGTTTTATAGATACACAAGGTAGGTCATGAACTACGTATATAAACAAACACGAGAGCAGACGATAAAACCACACACCACCGCCGCGTGATCGAGAAGGTTTTGGAGTGTTATTCACACGATTTCAATTGCCAACTTTTAAAAAAACCAGCTGTTACCCACTTTTTGAGGTTTTCCTTTGACAATATTTCAGGTTATCAAGCCTCAATTAACGCGCTAGCGGCCCGAAAATCGACCCTTTAACTTTAAGTGCTACTTAGCGAACTTAAAGCCACATTAGCGAGTGGTGAAACGCAATCGGCGCTAACGTCGACTTAACTTTAACTGCGCCCCCCTTAAGTGGCAGTTAGCGCGTGGTGAAAGCGGTCCTCAGCCTCAGACGGAGCCCCCCACACGCCCATTTAGTGCCGAGCTGGTCAGCAGTTACAGTGGCCCCCCTCCGCGCCGCAACGCCGGGGACTTGTTACCGCCGTGTGGTGCCTGCTGCTCTTTTCTGCGTTAAGCTCTTGAGTGCAGTCTTCTATGAGTCAGCGAAGGCACCACTGGGTGAACTGCCAGCTAGGCACCACGCATCCAAAGGACTGCACGGCTTGTCCGCCAGAATGAAGGGTGACGATGCCACCGGTGGCTAGCAGGTTGGTAGGGTGACATTTTGGGTAAATTGACGTTGCTGAGTTACGTGCTCAACGTAAATGTACCTAGACCACCGGATGGCGTCTGACACGCACTTCCTCTTGAGTTTGTTCTGGCGGAACTTTGGGACCCTTAGCTTGGTAAGAATGGGGTTGTTAGCTGGGTCTCATGATCCCAGGCTGCCGACCACAATGGCGGCAGCCGACGCCTCGAAGCCACGGCCCCGGAGGTGCTGGACGAGATGTTCATATTTGTCCTCCTTGTATCGCCGGGCCACTTCTAGGGCGTGGTAGCGCTTCTCAAACGGACAGCAGATGTCAACGATGAGTGCCGTCTTGGTGGTGGTGTTCATGACGACAATGTCCGGTTTGTCCGCGCTACCCGACCCGGCGATGCACCTCTCTACTCGGGTGTTGCGGCGCACGTCCTCGCTCATGACCTCCAGGACGTCCTTGAGGATGGCCCGGTGCCGGCTGTTGATGGCGAGCGAGTGTCTGGCGAAGCAGTGGTTGAGGACGTGCGCGGTGGTTTCGTCGGGGTGGCCGCAGGCACGACAGGATCTGTCACGCCCCGCGATTAGGGTGGAGTGAAAATCTGGGACCGAAAAAGTACACCTGGATTATAGTACTCCAAGATATCCTAAGACTAGCGGCAGAGTCCATTTTGACCCATCGGCTGACCTTCAACCCCTCTCGAGGGGTCAAAGTTAGGTCTTTGAGGGAAATTGACACCTTTTGCTCCCCTGGGCCCCCCCTAGGCATAATCCCGGAAACGGCTATATGCGGTTCGGTGCGGAACTATAGGAAGATACACCAGGAGTCGATACGCTGTGCGATAACATCTTCAGCTCGGTGATTTGTTCTGCTCCGGTGGAGGTGGGGGTGCGCCTGGAGAGCGACGTAACGGCCTTACGTAGGCTACCGGGCTCGTCCTTGGGCCCGACGCCTGCGGGGAGGCGCGCGGCAACCCGCCAGGCACTGGTGATGGAGTGGCTGCCTGACTTCCAGGGGCTGGCTGGTCCGGAAATGGGCTCTCCGGGCTGGGTGGTGGAGAGCGCCCGGCGATGTCTGCCAGGCGCCAGGAGCAGCGCGTCCGGGGCAGCCCGGTGTCCTGCCAGGCGAGACCATGTGCTTGCAGAAGGTGGTTTTTGGAATGGTTGACGCACGTCTCTGTCTCCTTGTCGGTCCGTCTGCATAGCCGGGACACGTACGTCACACATGTTACTTGATGGTGGTCGCGGGCGTGCTTCCGCATATTTTTAAGTTTTTTGTATTGGTGAGGCGACTTCCCGGGCTTTGCTAGTGGGCAGGGTGGGGCGCACAAAAAACGGTTGCCAAGGGGCACCTCCACGAAGAGTGTCCCCATGATGCCACAACCTGTTTACTTCCCCGTTGCTGCAGGCGCAGGCGGCTGGAGTCGAACCGCTGACCACAGCACGAGGAGCCAGCTCGAAACCTGTTGCGCCACGAGCTTCAGTTGAAGATGAGCGTGCGAAGTTGGCAGGATGCTCCTCATCGACGACTGGTAGGGGGCCAGAAAGAGGCCACCCGGTCGAGCAGGCACGACGAAAAGCTGACGCTTCCGCCAGGGATCGAACTCGGGTCGCCAGGGTAGGAGGGCGCGCCTAAACGCACTTGGCCACCCGGACTGATGAGAGGAGCCGCTGAGCGTGGTGTAGTGCTTCGGCCGCCACGTGGTGCGGCTGCAGGGGGAAAGGAAAGTAGTCCCCGCAAAGTAGTGCACGGCAGCCAGACACATGGGATTTAGGGGTTATGTTGCCCAGTGTCAGAGCGACAAACACAAAGTTCATAGCGAATTGCACACAAAATCACACAAGCACAGATGAATGTTGTCGACAATGTTCAGCGATTGAAGAAAAGTCAGTGGCTGATGAAGAGCATACAATTAATAACACATCAACGTAAATATTTACGTGTTGAGCTTGCGGTTATGTTCTTGATGCACTGGCGGCACATAAAAGTCGACATATTCTTGAAAATAGCTTGATAGAAAAGTTGCCTCCAATGTCACTGATAGTTCAATTGATGATGAGTACATTGAGTACCCAGTCACAGTATAAAAACACTGGGAAATGTTTAAAAACAATAAAAATTGTCCGGCCCTAGAACTGAGCGGCCATATTGTTTGTTGTTTCCACGTAGAATGCTTGCCTGCCACGCGGGCGGCCCGGGTTCGTTTCCCGGCCGATGCACCACTTGTTGTGATAGTGG